TTTTGTAGTCAACTGAGCAACCATCACTGTTCTGTATGAGCAACCATCACTGTTCTGTATGTAGGCGATCGACTGAGCAACTTAATAATACAATATGGAATCGCCCTACAACTACGCCCTACAGTTGTAGGGCGATACCATATTGTCCAGTAGGGGTAAATATCAGTGCCGGGCGGGGGGGGGGTGACGACATTTTGTGCGTTTAACTTGCGAGTGTGTGTTCACTTGCGAGTGTGTGTTCACACCATTGAATAATGTGCATTGTTTGCACGAGCTGCAGTTTTCAACTGCCCCTTCCGAACACGCACATTTTCGACTGGCCCTGCACTATAATTCCAGGAATCTCTGTCTGTCTGTCTGTCTGTCCGCCGATTATCTCCAGAACCGGGTACCGTATGAAATTGAAAATCGGCAGGCATACTGCTCGGGACAACAGAATGTGCAGGGTCGAGTTTGAAGTTGTTTGAAGAGGGGTTCTCGAGAAAGCTGCAAAAAAGCAGTATTTTCTGAAGCCTAGCGTGGCAGTATATAATTTAGAACATAACACCACGCACTGCCGTTCTTTTCAATTGTTTACGTCATGTAGAGCTAAACCGGGCGTGCTCAATATGACGCCAACGATGCAAAAAAAAGACGGGCACGCGCCATAACTCTATGGCACGCGCACGGGCATTGTAGGGCGATACTATTGTCCAGTATGAGTGAATATATAGCATTGCGTACCATGTTACCGTATGTACACCTACGTGATGGCTGCACGGGCACATTATTTTTGCAGTCGACTATTGTCCAGTAGTGGTGAGTAATATCTGCGCTATTTTTTGCAGCCTTTTTGGGAACGACTCGCCCAAACAATTTCAAACTTGGCACAAACTTTGACGTGAGTGTGTGTCAACCTGTGAAAACAACACCATTGAATCGCATTGCGTTGTTTGCACGAGCAGTTCTCAAAAACACTGCAAGCATGCAACAAATACCTGCGGCAAAGCAATTTGCACTTCCCAAACAAGCACATATTTTAGACGGCCAGCACGGTACGCGTACGAGGATGTGAGAGGCTGCACGGGTATACGCATTTTGTCGTCGACTGAGCAACAATCACTGTAGGCGACTGACTGAGCAACCTTTACTGTAGGATGATACCATAGTCCAGTATGGGTAAATATCAATGCCAGGGGATGGTGACGTGTACAAAGTGCGCGTTTAAACTATAAATGAGCGTTCAATCTGTGAAAGCTAGCAACATGTCGTGTGCGTTGTTTGAATGAGCAGTTCCCTGCCCCCTCCAAACAGACACATTTTCAACGGGCCCTGCACTAGTTTTTCTTAATTTTACAAGGTTTAACCTTTTAAGGAGATGCCGACAGTTCGCATTTAGGCCTCTCAGATGTGGTGCTTCGTAGGCGTCTTTCCGAACACAAAGACCTCAACCGTCCAAGTTTCGCGTAAAGGAGCGTGATATTGTTTTTTTAATACATCTAACTCATACACATGAACAGTTGGAACACACAGATGCTGAGTCTACAACGCGCCGTCCCATTACGTTCGTCTTCTTAAAACTGCTAGAATCAAAGACGAAGGTCTTGATTGCGATATTCCTTTCGTAGCGGACAATAAATGCCTTCTTAAGGACTGTTTACAAATATGAAAGTCTTAAAAGCCGAGAAGTCCCGCCGATTAAAGCGTGCTCAAGCATCGTTTAATCGTTTGTCCCTTAATCGTTTGCACCCCTCGACCTTAACACCACCACAACGGGATCCTCTTCGAAGCCCTCCTCCGTTTCAGTAAGACATTTCAATATCTCGAGACTGTGAAGGCCAACAACATTTCGCAGTTTCCATTCACCGCATTAGGTAGCATCCTCGCGCGGGATATCACTGCTTGCATAAATAGCTATAATGGCTAGCTAGTAAACGTACGGTATTACGTAACAAGACAATACTGTCACGTAAAACCGTACGTTTACTAGCTAGCCATTTTACATTCTTGATCTGAAAGCCTAAAGAAAATATTAATATTTACAGCTGATACAAAACGGCCTAAGTTTAGTGCGAGTAGGCCCGCTGGTCTAATAATCGTCATTTGAGGGTTCACAATCCACTGTTTACTATCGATCAATAATCACTGGATGACTACCACCACCTTTGCCAGACTGATCCAAATGGTATGGAACAACATCCAAGTGACAGATCACACCAATATGCCTGTCAACAAAGTGATTGGTTTACAGCAGGCTTTAGTTCATTGCGCTGAACCAGTTTTATGAATTCGTTTTAAAAAAAATAATAATCGTCGATCCTCGTCTCCTGTTGGGGTCTTTCCAAAAGCTGTGATCCGTAGGAGCAAATCAATAGACGCTCTGGAAACGAGGTTGCACACATTTAGAGAAAGTTACGAAAATTCGACAAAATCGACAAGGTGTGTATTAGATTGTAAGGTGCTTGTGGCATAATTAGTAAATCCATCTGTGGCTTTTGAGATAAACGCACGAGAATAATAGCATTTCAGAAGCTTTTCAATTATACCAAATTTATTTATGTACCCTACGCCCTTCCGAAAATACGACGCGAGAAAGACGACGCGGATTGTCTGAGCGGTCGAATACATTTTTCGAGGAAAATGGTGTTGGAAAAAAGTAACGTTTGGGCAACTTCTGTGTTCACGCGAGTCTTGCATGTTCGCATTTCAAATTACCTTCAACGGCATAAGTTATGGACAGCTTGGTGACGCATGACACGTGAGGTTGGCTCGCTACAGAAAAATCGGATTTGAAAAGGGAATTCCCCTCTTTATGTCTTGTCAACATAGCTACAGGAAATCTTTGAAGTAAAAACAAAATGTCAAATACAGAATCGATTCTGAGTTTTTAGGGTACATCCCTTATCACAATTCTTTAATTTAACTAAATTAAACTTTTCCAAGGGACTATTTTGTTTAACCTCCTTCTTCCCGGGGGACTATGGAACGAGGTTGAAAAAAATCAGCAAACTTTGAATATCGGTTGCTCTTCTTAAAACACCCCAAAAAAAAAAAAAATTTAACCCCCTTCCCAGGGAATTTTTTTTAATATCCAACCCTTTCTACCCCAGGGACTATTAAATTTCCATCCTAATTGTACTCTTGGGATGCTTTTAGAATTTCAGGGAACGAGGTTGAACAAATCAGCAAACTTTGAACATCAATCAGGGAACAAGGTTGAACCAATGAGGTCTTCAATTGTTTACATTTTGACTTCTTACATTTTGACTTATAGAGACTTAAAAAAAAAAAAAAAAAAAAAAAGGAAAAAGCAGAAATAACGAAAAGGTAAAAGAAATTAAAAGACTTGTATCGTATTGCTTTTATTTTGAATGCCATATGTCTTAAATAGAATGCACGGAAATGAAAACGAAAACATTAATCTCATGCAAATAATCCTCAACCAAACCAACTGCTAAATTGAATGATCAACTTAAACCGAATAACATAACTTCAATTTAGGATATGTAAACATGAAAATGTCAGGTCTATAAACGAATTTGAACGCCTGATATCTAACAAGAACTACGGGAATGACAGCAGGGCACTACTTCGCTTCAAATTGGCCACTATCAAGATGAATTCGCATGCTTTCTTTTGCAAAATTGGCTGGGGAAACCTATATTTAATCATTAAAATTTATTTCCAACATACATCTAATAAACATAAATCAGCTTCAGGTTATACACATACATAATTTAAAAAGTCAAATGAAATCGTTTCCTATCACAATTCACTTCATTTTTTAAAGCATTTATGCCAAAGTTTGATTGACTCATATCCTAAATTTATTGTATACTTATTAATTTGTATAAGTGTCTGATTACCTAATCAGATAATAATTTAAATAAGGACTTTCAAGGAAAAAGATAAGAAATCAGTTTCCAAAACAACAAAAGATGGAACAAGTCTGCTGAATTTGTGCTTTGGCAGACTTTTTTTTTTTTTTTTTACTTTACAACGGGTTTAAATTGCCATTAAAATAATATTTCTTTCTACCGGGTGCCGTCAAACATGCTATAAAATCCCGCGCACTGATGTGAACAAACGCTTGGGATTTTAATGTGCGGCGCAGCATAATGGGTCTCATAATTCTCATAAACTTTATTTACCTTTCTTTAATAGTTGACATAATTTCCAGCACCTTGAGTACCTAATTGTTGGTAGATACGTGCGCTGTATAAGACTCCATTATTATTATTATTATTATTATTATGTTGCCAATTACATTCAATTTCTTTTAATTTCAAACATTTACAAATCACTGTAATTGTTTGAAGCTTTTTGTATTTAAATATCAAACCAATTTCCTTGGACGAATGATCGCGACAAAAGGGAATCTTTTGAGCAAATGCTTTGCAGTAAAAGCAAAAGCATTTGCTTTTCAGTAAAAAAGCATTTGCTTTCCAGTAAAAGCAAAAGCAAATGTTTGCCAGTAAAAGCATTTGCTTTAAATTCATTCATACAAACTAAGTGTAGAGCCCATTGAAAATGTGCCTTTTCGGAAGGGGCAGAAAACGCACACGATTCAAATGGTGTTGTTTTCACAGGTTGAACGTACACTTACAGATGAATGCACACTTTGTACGTATCCTCATCTCCTTACACAGATATTCACCCCCAATGAACAGTCAAGGTTACCGAGTCGACCGCCTAAAGTCGACTGCAAAATGCATGTGCCAATGCAGCCACTCACGTACGTGTACATACGGAAACATGGTATCCAGTAATATTCAACCCATTCTAGAAATTTATATCGCCTTTCAATGAGATGTACCAGTCCTTTGTTGCATCACATTGCATTGAGCACGCGCACCTTAGCTCAGACATGACGTTTGCAATTGAAAAAGACGCCAGCGCGAGGTGGTCTAGGCTATACTGCCACGTTTGCCTCAGAAAATATTGCATTTTTGCAACTTTTTCGAAAACCGCTCATCCAAACAACTTCAAATTTGGCACTGCACATTCTGTGGTCCCGAGCATTTATACCCGCCGATTTTCAACTTCATACAGCGCCAGGTTATGGAGATGATCGACGTTACAGACAGACACACAGAGATTCCAAACGCACGTTTTACATGTACGGTATAAACGTTTCTTTTGTATACCAAACTTTACGCAAGTAGTGTTATTGTGACGTCAACTCAGTGGCGCCATTTGCACTTGCTTTGCACAGGCTAAAATGTTTTATATGGAGAAATTGGTGCCAATTTTCCGCTTTTTTTGCAGCTTTTTCGAGAACCGCCCGTCCAAACAACTTCAAACTTGGGCATTGCATATTCTGGTGTCCTTAGCAACACACACTGCCGATTTTCCACTTCATACAGCGCCCGGTTCTGGAGTTAATCGAAGACCGACAGACAGAGATTCCCGGAATGCAAGTAAATGCTTCAAAGGGTGGTAAAAGCGAATGCTAGGTTTTATACATACGACCCCAATGTCTTTCACACCTTGTTTACGATCTCCTGGGGAAAAAAGAAAAAAAAACTATCATTAGTAATGCCTGCCCGATCATAACTATGCCTGCCAATGATTTGTTATTGGTCGTTTTCTTTTTATCAATTGTGCAACTGTGTAGAAGAGTTGATTAAAATATCTAGCAGATTGGCAAAGGGGCACGTACGTGACGCCCCCCCCCAGTAAATTTCGGAGAACATTTGTATAGTCAAAACTATCACGGAAGCCATTGAAGTGGCTAAGTACCTCTCCCCATTGAAAGTCAGTAGGCAAAGGGACGATTATTCATAAAAATTGATACGTTGAATGACTTATATAACAAACACAGTACAAATGTAGATTATGTTATATTTTTAAAGAAAAATATCACTTGCAATAGATACCTGACGACGTTATCATGAAGTAATAGGCACACCAAAGTATCAGGTTTGATACATGGTTTAAAGTTGTTCTAACAATTTAGAGGAAAATTATTTGTCCAGGGGAGAATACACCCACCCGATTTGGGTGCCCCAGATTAGACGCCAGGGACTCTTCAAGTGTCCAAATTACTGCAGAGATGTTTTCTTGTTCAAGGAGCTGGCATAGTTTATAAACATGACTCACTAGGACGGTGGTATTCGTCTTAACTCTTGCACTTCTCACTAGACCATTTCTGTCTGGAAACGTTTCCAGGACCAATCCTAGGGGCCATGAATTTCGAGGCGCTTGGTTGTCGGTTACAAGTAATTACGTCACCTGAGCTAATGTTTTTCTGTGGGTAGAACCATTTCTGACGTTATTGCAGATAAGACGTATGTATTCTGCTGTCCAACGTTTCCAGAAAAGATCTTCTAAATTTTGCACCTGACGCAATCGTTTTCTTGCATACAAGTCCTTGTGAGTAACAACGGCTTGGGAGGTGCTAGAAGATAATTTGGTCTGAAGAGGAGCACATCAATTTCGGGAGATGGCGATCGTCTGAAGCATGAGTTAGTGGTCTGTTGTTGAAAGTGAAACTCTGTCTCGCACATAAGAGTTCAGAGCTGCTCCTTATCTCTGCACTCCCTGACATGTTGTTCATTTAGTTATGCCAGCAAATCTTTCGAATGGTGCGTATTTGACGCTCCCAGACACGACCGAAATTCGATACGGGCAATTGAACCTTCATTTAACGCTGTGCTTTGTTCAAAATTAACTAATTCTTTCCATTGCATTGCATTTCCATTGTTGCAAAACCTTCGTCTCAATTTCGCACCAACGAAATTAGTACCATTGTCTGACAGTACTTCTTTGACATCATTTCTTCCCTTTTTAAAGCTCTGCAGTAGGCGGTAGGATTCAAGGCGCTCAGATTTCCACATTGTAGGATACTTTCCTCGGCCCTTTCAATTTTTTCAGTAGTGAGATGCCCTGAAATATGTGCATCCTTATTGATCTTCAGCACATTCTTTTCACTGAACCACCAAGCAGCAGCTCTCCCTCAGACATTCTCAGTCGGAGTAGTACTCTAAGAGCATGTGAACGGCATCTTTTCTGGCCTCTTTAACCATATCTTACGGCAGGATACAGCTAGGAGTGACAAAGAACTCCTGATAAATTTGATGATACGCTGCTAAGCTTCACTTTGGGACCATTTCTTTCCGGAGCTTTTTCAGTGGGGATTGTTGGCCACTGGTCTTCCTTGCTGCCACATGAATGTTTGGTCCTCCGAACCATCTTTCGTTGACGAAGATTTTATCAATGGTCAGTCCTCTCGAGCAATCTGCTGGATTTTACTCTGATTTGACACCGTGACGGTTTTGAGTTTTGTCACTCGGTTCGCTACGAACCTATTGTATCTTGCGGTTTCATTCTGGATGTATAGCACATCCGTCCACAAGAAAATCTCGTCTACGGGTATGTCTAGTCTACGGCAACGGCTGCTGTAGTTAGTTCGAGTGTTGGTATCAATTATTCCTGCAGTGGGGCAACTCTCGCTTAAGAAGTTACAAACTGCAGTCGTGGAGATGTGCACTGGAGATGTCCAATTTTGGGAGGTCAGCAGGCCACTGGTTCCATCCTCTTAAACGATCTTCGTCAGTTTGTGAATCCCAACTCACTTTCTGTCTGCATAGGTCTTGGAGCAATATCTTTGCATGCTTATCAGGGCTTATCAATCCTAATGGATCGTAGATAGATAGATAAATCTACAGGATAAGTCACCGCCTGGCCAACGAACGAGTCTTAATTGATCTCTGTCTTCGATTCTGACCTTCACTTGGTAGAACATTGCTTCAATGTCGGCACTTAAATGTTGCAACTTGTTTTTGACGAAATCTCACCAGCACGCCAATGAGTCCATTGATCAAATCTGGTAGCAAGTCCTTTGCTTAAGTGGTTGGTAAACTCCATGGTAAGATAAACCACATCTTGCCATCATTTCCATCTATCTGACTCTCTGGCACTTTCTCCGCGTAGCCTTTCGTAATCGTTTCTTCCATTCCTTTCACGTACTTCTCTTTGAACTCCAGGTCTTTTATAAACCTTCTCTACAGATATCCAGCTCTTTTTTCAGCCAGTTGGCGGTTGTCGGGCATCTGTAGAGCCGTGCCGTTATGACCCCTTTTGAGCTTTGACGTTTCCTTCATGGATATCTAGGAATCGTGCTCGGGCTCCCGATGTGATGCCATATTTCTTGTCTTGTCTTATCAATTGGCGAGTCTTGTTTGGCCATCCGACTTTCTTGCGTTGTTTCTTCTTGTGGCGACAAACCATGGCATCTGGATATCATTTTCGCCAACGATGTACACTGCGAGGATGATGCCTTTCAATAGTCCCTGAGCCTACTAACAATTTTCGGGCAGACTGAATCTAACTTTCTTGTCTTCATCCTCTTCACATTGCTCTTAATCCAGCATCGGCTAATTTGATCTCAAATTCAAGGTTGAAATTCTCTGTATCTCTTTTCAATCTTCGCTCTTCCTGTTGTTGTTGTTGTTGTAACGTCAGGTCTTCTAGATCTTGTTTTGGTTTCAGGTGTCCTTGTCTACAGAGAAGCTCTGCTCGTTTTTCTGCAGCCTTCGCCCGAATGGAACTCGATGTTATTCGTGATAACCCCAAAATACTAGTTTTGTCATCCATTGTTATCTTCCTGTGCGTATGTGTCTTGACTATTTCTAATAGAGTTGTTGGCTATTCGTAACTGTTACCGACTTCCAACAGTTGGGTGAAACGTTACGTAATCCTCCTTTTAATGATTGCATTCAAATGGCGCGTGATTTCTATTGTGTCATTGAAGTGGTGATCATTACGGAGGATCGGCCTTCTAAACAGCAACCCCAGCAATCCTGTGGGTCACTCGGCTTTGAAAACCTTGTCAAAAAAGGGGGTATGGTTAATTGTTGGAGGATTAAAGTTCTTCAATCCTTTAATTAGTTTCATAAGCGGTTATGCCTGTATGAGGCATTCAAGCCTTTTTTTCACCACTAAGATTCCAATGTGAACTGATAGCAATACTTGTTTTTATTTTTTAAAAATATAAATGTGAGTAAAATGATTTCTGTTTTGAAGTGTGAAAAGTGATCAATAAACAGCCCAGAAAGACACTCCAGTCAAAGTAAAAATAGATCAGTGTGTTAAAGTACATAAATCATTTAAAACCATCTCTTTCCTTGTCTCGGTTTATAAAATGTTCCGAACAGAGCACTGGGTGAAATCTGATACAGCATATGACGTAACAGTAGCACGCTTACCTCAATCATGACAATAGCAAATCACACAGAGCCGATACTGGGCCATTAAACAATTGTTAATCATTGAGCTCAAGGCAAATATATATGGATGACGCAGCTATACTGGCCTTGCTTTACAAGACAAGCAGACTTATCAAATTATCTCTCTCGCGTTGTGTGAAGATAATTTTGGGGACATTTACAGTGCTCTGTTCATTTATGAACCGGAGAAAAGGAAGAGATGTTTTTAATGATTAACTTGAACACCTTCGTCTATTGTTTACTTTGACTGGAGTTACCCGTGAAGATTTTCTCACAATATTTGATGATTCGAGGGAAGTTATAATCCAAGGAAGGCGAGGAGAACTATTTCCCCAATCAACAATCTGTTGTTATTTCGTAAGTGACACCACGAAGTAACACTCATGTTCATACCAGTAAAAACTAGCAATCGGAGTAAACGGCATTAAAGTTGAACGTTTTCGAAAACAACACTTTGCGTCAAAACTGCATAGTATTTTCAGTTGGGTTTCTCGTTGTGGACAATTGATGTATTGAATTTGCTGGTTTTCACTCGTTTGTATATCAAATTAACAAGAAATAAGAGAAAAGGGTGAGTGATAGTTTGTAAAACCAAAAAAGGTGCGAAACTATATTTTTTTTCATAAGTAGAACGTTTCAATGTATCACAAGACTAGGTGAGTGTTTACTTCGTGGAAACGAAGCTCAAACTAGGAGAGCGCTCAAACTAGGAGAGTGTTTCTTCGTGAAAAAGTTTTTGCTCACATTTGAGCCCAGTTCAATGAAGCTCTTGAAGCTTTGAAACTGCCATTGATGAATAATGTTTAAAAATGTTAAAAAAAAAAAATTAAATATAAAAAAATATGTTTATATCCTTCATCTGCTATTATTTTGTAAATGTTCGGTGAAAATGAAGATTATATATGCAATATTATTTCGAGATTGCTGCCCTTTCAGCCCCCTTGATTTATCGAAGGCATATGAGATGGCCGAATGCCGAGACCACTACTCCCAGAAGGCAATGCAATGGGGATAATTGATGGATCGCCTCAGTGGACTCGGAGACCTTTTCGTGGCAACTTACAACGACTGTTCTTTAGTGCAATTTGATTGCTTTAAACGCAACAGTCCGGTCTAACAGTTGTACAACAGTTTCACATAACAGTCAAGGGGTGACTGTATGTCTGCAACTGTCACATGCAAATTAGTATGGGCCTATTGAAGTCAGTCAGCGCTGAAGAGGATGTTTTCTTTGTAAAAGAAATCGCTCTGTGCGTGCGAGAAGGATCGCCACTTCAATGTCACAATATAGAAATCACGCGCCATTTGAATGCCATCATTAAAAGGAGGATTACGTAACGTTTCACCCAAATGTTGAAAGTCGGTAACTGTTATGAATAGCTAACAACTCTATTCTAAGCAGTTATATCTAGAGTCGGTATCGGTATTTCAACCGTCTATCCATGTTTACGAACTTCTAAAGTGACGTATCTAACGGTCTTTGTACCGATATCAAACTGCCTAACAGTGTTCATAACAGTTTTTCTACTTATCATTTTCTAAGATGTTCCTTACTGATGAGTGTACGACGATTTCTCACAGATTCTGTCGCGTTCCGCAATACCATTGAAAAAAGATTCCAAGCCGTGTATTCGGTAATTTATTGACCCAAACAGTAAAACGGCTAAAAACGGTTTAAATGGTTACAACGGTAGAAAAACTGTTTCCTTGCGTACACTCAAACTACAAATAAAAACAATATTCGAACACTATGGTGCGCGTGTCAAACAAAGGAACAACTTAGCAACACACTGCACCGCAGCCGCACGCGAGAGAAGCCAACTGCGTCAAGCTTGATTCTCACACCTTTTGTAATCTTACATCTTTCAACTGCAGTTTGTATTGAACAACATCGCTGATCAGGCACACACAGTGAACATAGAGAATGTGCAATAAAAAAAAAATAAAATTCATAATTCGCTGATTACAGGAGGGGCGAAAACCACACAAAGACTTTTTTGGGGGAGAAAACACAGGCAAATTCCCATCCGCCACATTATTTCTAATGGCAACAAGACTCATCAATTTCAGGTTTGATAAACGAAGACAATGTAAACTAATGTTCACATAGTTTTGCAGGAATAATAACACAGTTCAGATTTGAATGGTGTAAGAAAAGTAATCGGTCTAAACTGTAACATGAAAATTGTTTAAAGGTTTAAAACTCAAATAAATGTTTACTTTTCCCTTCTGTGTGATTCTTGGTGACATTCTGGAACAAATAAAAAAAATTTAAAAACATTTAGCTCCCTCTGAATATTGTTGGTTTACAAATGTGATTAATCAACTCACCTGTAATTTGAAGATGAAACAAAACGATGGGACTGTCAAGAAGATGGCCGCTGATCGAAAAACCCTGAGAAGATTAAATGAATGAATTCCCTTTTAGAAAAAAAATAGTGGTTAAAATACACACAACACTCACAAAAATTTTTTTCTAGCGTTGGATAATACAGTATACGTTGTTTGACAGTTAGTGGAATTGACGGTAATGTATGAAAAGGTCTGCAACAACAACAAATATCTCAAATGCACCGTGCACATCACAGCTGGTTTGAAACTTGTAAAACGTCAATAGTTAGAGCGTCAAATTATCAAGATGGTACCCATAAAAACTGTATGGAAAAAAAAATGATAACATTGTGATATTTAGCCCAGATAGCAAAAACATAGAAAATGAGGTGTCCGTAAATTGGGGGGGGGGGGGGGGTTGGGAAGTAGGTGAAGGGTTGCCTAAAGGGGGAGACTTGGACAAGTTCAAGGAAATTCACAAAATTATTTGTAAGAAAACGTTTTGACTAGGACAGAATCACTTTAAACAACAATGATCTTTATTTTTGGGATTCCTTGATTTTGTTCAGGTCCCCCCCCCTCCACTTAAAGCAACCCTTTGCATAATTTTACGCCCAATTTATTTATCTTGTTTCGGGGGGGGGGGGCTATAAATATCAAGATGTTATCAGTTTTTTGTTAGGATAACGGTGCCAGTAAGTAACTTTATGAATTTGATGCTCATCAATGCTGTGGTTTGGAAAGACTATACTTGATTTCTAAGGACAAAGTTATTGCGCACAATCTATGTCCTCGTAATCATTCGGTCGCTCATATGCTTTGGAACATGTTTATTTGGCTTTAATAACATCATTTACACATATCGAAACCAACTGACGTAATAATTGTTGAAAAACATACTTGGTTGAAAAATAGTAAGGGAACTAAACCCCCTGTGAAATTATCGTCAGTCAAGTTGTTCATCACCTTTCTTTAGATTTTGAGGACTTTTGTTGCTTGGAAAGAACAAAATGCACAGATTATGATGGACTGGACCTTTCAGTAAGTAGAATCTCCAAAATACACTTTTCAAAAATTTGATAAAATAAAAATATACCCAAATATGGGAATAAATATATTACAAGGTAAGTGCAAACAAGGCACCCGTCCCAAATTAATTTCAGGTAAATATCTTCTCTAAGGCTATAAGAGTCTATCTACCAAGTTGTTTGATGCTTTGGACCAGTCGGCTCACGATACGACCACATGCCAACTGACTAATGTTATACAAATACAACATGGTGTTGTGGGAAAATATTGAAAACTTATGATCCCGAAGTGTTGGATGGTTGGGATTATAACGCGTCAGTCAACCACAGATAGAGCTTGATTGGCAAAACGTACTATACGTCTGCGCGCGCCGGTCCATGGGGAAAGGGAAATATTATATTTAAATTATTTTTAAACTGTGATCAGATTGAAATAACTTTAAATATTAAAATCAAGCAGAGTCTGTGGGTGAAGTGTTATAAAACAAATATTGAATGCTTTATCTCGTGGTGAAGTAAAACTAACCTCCCTCGGTGATCCGTGGAGCATTCTATTTTTAAAATGGTGATCCTCGGGAGTCTAGTATTTTACTACACCACTCGAAAGCATTCCATATTTCTATATTATCTCCCAACTGGGATTGGGGATCATTTGTTTTCACTATTTCCTCCGCTAACACATGATATATTTGTTGACTTTACCTCAAAAATATTGATCAGGCAGCTGCGGAATTTCATTTGTCCATTCCCATTTGAAACTTCAATCTCTTAACATAGATGACATTATCGGAGGGGCCCATTTCATAAATAGTCACCTCGCGCCTGCATATTACATCCCTGCTGGAAAGATTATGCAGTATTCCACCAGAACCAGATCCAGAACCACATGTTTTTGCTCACTGGAACACTGGATTTGTTATTATTGTGTTCCTCCCCGGTTAAAATCGCAGAGCGAGCACCACCGGTCGCCATTTTGATGTACGCCGTTACAGACTAGCACAGCTGTCCTCACTGGTGATCTCCACGGTACGCTACTAAAGCGCGTGCATCGTTGGTAAATATATATCACAGTACTGGAACAAATCTCAGGCTGCGACCCAGGTGTGATAGTACCTCCATGGTTTTTACACGCCACGCGCGAGTACGAAGACGCGGGGGAAATAGTAAAAACTTTCACACAGTTGAGTTGCTGGAATGGACCAATGAAATGTCGTGGTTGCCTGATGAATATTTATGAGTAATAGTAATAATGTGTTCATCAATGGCAATATGCACCCCTCGGTGGATAGGTACTTAGTCAACCTCGTCCCCAGGGTGTCGGGCAGTACGCGCCCACATCTACCTGCTCTCTCACCCTGGTATTGGATTGCATGTGCAAGATTTTTGAACACGTATGCAAATTAGGAGTAGTCTGGTGCCTGCCTGTGCGTTACATTTGCAATTGTTTTTGTATGCGGTGTCTGGGGTAAAAACAGAATCAATTCGTCGCAGCGCGAGCATGGCGTGAGTAACGAAAACATGATTTCATTTTAATTAAACTGTTACGATCTTAACGAGACAACATGCAGTTTCACATTTAAAAAATGAAAAAAAAAAAATTTACTGGAAAGCATTTGCTAAAAGCTAAAAGTATTTCCATTTTAATTATTTCGTATGAATAAAAAGGAATTAATACTTTCAGATTTCAAGTAATGTTTTAAGGCTGGGTTTGGGGCAACCTTGAAAATATAAAGCAAATACTACTACACAAAAAAAATACTGCATTCATTAATATCAATACCATACACATTTTCAAAGGTTTCACTTTGCACTTGAAAATAAAATCGGAAAATCACGCCAAAATTAATTTTTCTTTTAACTTTGTAGCGGGTAAATTAACTCGTAATTATGAACGGGAGTGTTTAGAACTTCATAAAATTTCACTTTCTGTGAAATTTCAGTTAAACTTTTTCTCTAGCTAGGCGCCTACAGGCGAAAAATCAAAGTGCGCCACGTTAGGGGCCGCGCCATGTTAGGGTTCATCAACAATACACCACAGCCGGGCCCAGGCTGCGCTGGACATGTCTTCATTGCGTACGCGTACGGCGTCGAGGGGTTTGGACTGCCGTAGCGAAACAAATTACAACAATGTTTTTATATTGTTACCTGGTGGAGGAAGCTGAAATTTCGTTTACACATTCCTTGTGTCCAGAATTACAAAGATGCTTGGTTTAGGAAAGGTAAATATGTCGATGGGCGAAGTGTTTTAAGAAAATAAATCGTAGATCTACGCTCATTCGTTGTAAACATCCTCAGTATATACTGCAGTGCTGTACGATGTTGTTTCAAAACTTCCTTACGCGCGCGCACCCATAGCGACCGTGTTGCGTACCCGCGCGTCAGTCTCACGCGAAGGTGGTTGAAGCGTATGTGCAGTGCTGTATTGTTACAAGCTGCCGTATGACTGTTGTAAATTTGGCCAATCATTATGGCCTTCCATGGGGCTGGATCAATGTTGGTTCAGGGGCCATTTTTTCGCTTGTTCTTTGAAACCGGTCTTTATATCATCGTTAATACACCCCCGTGATCGAGTCTCGACCAATCAGAAAACCATCAATTCTCCAAGGTATTTATTAATCGTACTAAGCATACTGGCCAAGCTAATATATATTCCCATTCTTAAATAGCTTTTGGTCCACAATTCTAAGAAATCAAAAATTATCAGTTAACAACGATTTTCTGCAACAATTTTACATTCCTGTTTTGTGAAACAATCCCTCTAGCTATGTTTATTATGGAATGTCCTCTATTGAGTAATGCTATCATGGAGCATACTGCACGATCTGGCACAAACGCATGTTTCTTCTGTTTTGCAAATGCTTTTTGTATATGTATAGCTAAATGAGTGCCCCCTGTAACGCTGTACAAACATGTTTAATTGTGCCCTTCAACTGTTCAACTGGGTCATTTTGGAGCAATGAAAAACTATTTTATTAAAGACAAACTCTCAATCTCATATCTGATTTTGTGGGCAAATTTCCCGTCACAACTTTTCAAAAATAATAACTGGTTTCTCAAAATCATATCGTTTCTCAAAATCATACTAAGGCCAGAAGTAGCGATCAGGCTTAATGTGCAGCATACACAACGATTCCAATGCCATTAAATGGCCACTGCAAAGAGCCAGTGGCATGGAGTGGACTGCCAGCGTGTGGGCTAAAATTGGACTATAGGCCATCAGCCTCGGTCCAAAATTTCGACAACCGGTATCAAATGAGGGAAATAATCGTCATAGCGATTTTTGGCAAGATAGCATTGCAGCGTGGCAGATTTTGGGTGTTTATCACTCTTTTCTTTAAAATGTCCATCAAAATGCTTGTTACCACTCTGTGCGCATGCACACTATAATCATTCAATGCACTGATTTGATACTGACCAAACCCCCAAGCTGATGGCCTACTAGCAGTAAGTAGTGAGGCTAACTAAAAAGCCAGAATCGTTGCAATTACGGGCTGAAAAGCCAAACAGAAAACAAAGAAAAATTGAGGCTTTTCTGAAATGTCGGCAACATATTCAGAATAAACATAAAGGCTTTTCCACAACTATGCAGAAACACAATGAAAAGAATAAAAATAACTAACTGTCAATAATTAAATTTAAAAAAGGACTCATCTTTCGGTCACCCTTCCTTGGTCACCCTCGATTCATTTAAGGCGTTCTTGTGACATGAGTTCGGCCCATTGACGATACTGTTCCAGGTCCTATCATTTAACACAAAAGACAAGCAAAGTTAAATGTAATTTCTTCCCTACCCTTATATGTGGGTGGGCCATTGGCAAAAATCCATTGTACATTTTCAACCATGAGAAGAAGAAGAAGAAGGCAATCAACTGGTTTGTAATGTCATTGCTCGTTTATGACATACAAACCAGTTACATGTAGTCGTCATTGTATACAGTAGCGGTCAGAAGAAAATGTAGTCTACTGAGTAGCACTGAGTGATGCGATGATAATGTCGCCGTGATACAGTATTTTGTTCACCCAGTGGTGAGATTCAGACTATTAGGGCAGTGATCATTTTGAACAATCACCTTTCAAAACCTTGCTGCATCTAGAGTTAAATGTCTGATTTCCGAAAGTTTATTTTGAAACTAATGTGTATTAGACAATATTCTCCAAAGTAAGTAAAGGTTGCGATGAGACGTGCATTAGCTGTCAATCACAAGCTTTTTCATAAAGGAAGGAGATGAGCCTATTTCTTCAGCCTGCTTTGCGACAGGTGTAGCGTTAATTTAGGACTCATTGGTGGTACTGCGGCATGCCTTAAGGGGCCATCCAGAATAGTCAGTGTTAAACAAAATCCATTTTTTTTTAAATTGCTTTGACATCCCCAATTTTTGATTTTGAAATGTTGAATGACTTATTCAGTGCAGGTTATTCCATCATATGTGTGACATGTGACCATATTATAAAAAGTATGAATGCCTCAATTTGGGTGATGAAACAATTAGTAAAGGTTGGGAAACAAGATCCTCCCCACCCCTCCCTCATGTTTTTACATACTCACATATGTAAAAACATATGTGTAAAAATATGGGGGGGGGGAGAGATAATAGTTGGATGTAACATTGACAGGGTGTCATTGTTAGGTCGGAATTACTACATTTTTGCTCATATTTTTGTCAAAGTACAATCAAATTATTTCAAACTTGCTTTAGTATTGAAAACACCCTATAACAAATATCATGTTGAGTGTAATCAAATAATATTTGGAATGCAACACACACTGTGTCCCAACCCGGTGGGATGACCCATATATCCCATGTATTGAAGAACTACGTAATGCCCCAAATGAAGCAGATATTTGTAGTAAATGCTCTCCCATTTATTAGCTCAGGAGTTTTCAATGCATTTCCAGGCTAAAGCAGCATGTAACTTTCTAGTTGAGACAGACGAAGAATTGCCAAGCACACAAAACTTTGAACAATGTTGTGTTTTTTTAAGTTTTCCATGACGCTATATTAAAAAAAACGAGCTTGATCGAAAACATCTTGCAAGCAGTTACATTTTCACTAGATATTGCCTATAGTTACTGGGCATTTTGTAATCTTAAGATGGTTATTATGAATTTATGGAACGTCAATTTGGTCTTAAACTTGCCCCAATGGTTGAGGCCGGTTCCATAGACATCAAACATACACAATTTTAAAAATCATGTTTTTTTACCCAAACTGTGACTTTGCTCTATAGATGTCTGCAATTATTAAATCAAATGGCCAGAAAATACATTCAGGCGTACTCAAGTTATTGTGCAAATGATCTTTCATCCATTTTCACATTTACTTTGCTCACAAAAAAAACACATGATTTTGCTAAAAAAACAACCACCAATTCTCCCGTTTTCCAAGCTCCACATCATGTTTTATCTGAAAGTACACATATTAAGCTTTATAAAGATGTATGATGTAGGTGTGTGGTGGGGTGGGGCATTTAAACTCCTGAAAAAAAGCCTCTTTTCAAAGGTTCGCCACTCGCCTATGACGTCATAAAAGTACACACCACACCAAAGAAAATGGCGATAATAGGTGGAGAGTTGCAATATTCTGCAGAAAGCAAAATCAGACACTTTGCATTGAGCTAATAATTTTCTTGCACATTGTCTATAGTTTATATTTGGAGGAAATTTAATTATTTTTTTACTTATTTTTATTTTTTGTATTAATAAATACTGAATATTGTGTCAAAAAATGACATGAAATTTAAGATTTTTTTGTTCAGCAATACGGAAACTATGGATTGCCGTTGATTGCCGCCTAAATTTTAACTTTTTCTGATAGAGTAACCTTTCTGCATCATTTTGGAAACCTGCGGGACACAATTTTAGGGCAGTTTTTCTGAAGCGATCACTTTACGTTTTTGTCCTTTCTCTGAACTCTATTTGCTGTGGGGCGCCCCACTGAGAAACACGCAGCCCTTATTTTGGTGGTCGGCGCTCTCTGAGAAAGTCAATATTTTGCAAAATTGTGCCCTTGATGTCTTATTGTGCAGTTAAATTACTTTTAGTGTGTAAATAGATTGTGATGAGTCAGTAGTACTGTTGTTAATGGTCAGCTTTGGATGTCTTTTTAAGAACAGTACCTGGGTGCGTTATGGCGTTCTCACCAAGACAGCGATTATTTGAAGTGGTCACTTCGATCAGTGATGTTTCAAACATCGAACATTCTTGTCATAGTTGCTTAGAATATTCTCGGATGTGTTCAAAGTACAATTATGTGATATTCCAGAGGAGATTCATCAGTCGGTGACGAAAACCATTCAGGATTTTCTTTACAAGTTGAGGAAGAAATGGGCAGAAAGCAGCCGAACCAAAAAGACTTTTGAAACAGAGAACACTGACTGGCTGAAAGGGCAAT